GGGTGGGTGTTCTGTGTGGGTGAGTCTGAGTATGTGTGAGTGTTGTTATGCTCGCTATACAGAACTCACAAAATGACTCAGCCAGACTGTTTTGTCGGACTTCCACCGACTCATCAGGAGGTTGAGGCCCCACAGTCCGCCAAAGACGGACTGTACTGATGACCAAGGACTCGCCACGTTCGTGTGTGTGTGTGTGTGTGTGTGTGTGTGTGTATGTGTGTGTGTGCGTGCGTGCATGCATGCGTGCGTGTGTGTGTGTGTGTGGGTGCCCGTGCTTGTGTGTCTGTGTGTGCGTGTAAGCGTGCGCGTGTGTCCAACATAGAGTGAAGTCGTAGTCGAGCAAAATCGGAAAAAGTTCGTTACCTGTGGCCCCTTGGCGCTGGCCCGGACAGTGCTAGCGTGGGGGCCCAGTACCTTGCGTGGTACCGGCTCCGGTGCGCGGGCCCGGTACCAAGCGTGGTGCGGCACTGGCATGCGGGACCGGTACTGGCCCTGGCGACGCTTCAACTTCTAAGAAAAAACAATCAGATCAGGACCGTCGTGCAGCAAAAAATCGGAGGGCCCAATCGTCCGCTTGTCACAGGGAGGAACTTAGCGATAGTTATATATGTAGTGATTTTGTCACAGGGAGGAACTTAGCGATAGTTATATATGTAGTGATTTTGTCCTCTCTTGGCCTTGTAGCAGGTGGCCGATACTGATGTTTTACTGTCACTGACATGGTTGCAAAAGATAAGAACAGCCAGGGACAGTAAAACATCACTATACACCTGCTACAAGGCCAAGGTAAAAAAGACCCTGGTCTTTTCTACCTGATCATATGTGCTACTACTATGCTTTGTACAGTGTTCTCTAGCACAAGACCCTGGTCGTTTCTACCTGATCATGTGTGCTACTACTATGCTTTGTACAGTGTTCTCTAGCACCCCGGTATATGTCCGCTCACCGTTGTTTAGCCCTCGTATGAAAGCATCTTATCCCAAAACGCTGTCGATAATGCTTGCCAGTAGCATCACTTCACCTTTTTCTCTGAAGAGCAAGGTTACAGTCCCTGTACGGAGGTACTCCGACGAAAATTCCTGCCCCTCGAACATCCGGCAAAACACCTTTGCAGACCCACACCTCCTTCCAACGCAAATTCTTTGAACAAGTTGTCTAAACCCAGAGTTGCATTCGGTACAGCAACTCCAACAGTTCTGATTGTGAGGATCACTCTTTCAGACGACCGGCCATACGCTTCGAGTCTCTTCCTTCTTTACACCCACTATCTGAGTGTCTTTCAAATTCCTCCATAGCTTTTGGCTTGTGTCACCATGTTCTAATGGAAATCTTGCAATAATACTTTATTTGAAAAGCCGAAGGAAAAGTTCGATGACAAGAGGAGGGTTCAGCGTGTTCGCATTGCTTCTCAAATGATCGATCCTTTCCTGTGCAATGCCCTTACTGCTTCGACTCCATCTCTGAAGCGACGGTGCACTATCACACTGATCGTATTGGCATGATTCCTCGTCGTATTGGGTCACCTCTGTTCTTCCATTAAGCAAAACTTGTCATGCTCCAGACACACTTGAACACAAACGAACTATATTTGTGTGTTTACACTGTTTAGAACATTCTTCAATTATATAAGTACATCAGAAAAAATCATTGTGCATAGCTTTCATTTTGAATCGAATGTCATGCATGGCATGCAGTGTATCAATTAGACACTCATCCGGGTGTGCTGGGTGCTTGAGCAAGCTGCACATGCGCTTCACCGAGCACCAATGGATCCATACATGTGTGTGACAATGTGAGATCATAGAATGCAGTTTCTTCCAATGAATTGCACAGTGAAAATCACTTTCCGCATACCAACGAGTAAAAAGTGCATAAGCTGCTCGTTGAACGCGTACAATTCGACTTTTACCATTGTATATGTTCGTCGATATTCGGAAGCTATGAAGTGGGAGATACTGGAGGAGGAGCTGATAAGAAGCCCAAGAAAAGCAAGCCCGTGGGAGCCTTCGGCTCGCTTTATGAGCATCTTTGAAAGGAAGGGCCGAAGGCTAAGCCTTACTTTGACAAATCGTGCCACTACACAACTACAGAACAGATGAAACAGACTTACGAGAGACACAAGAGGTCACAGAAGAAATGATGATCTTTCACCTCTACAGATATGCAGCATTTAGAAAACCGCACCCCCAGAAAAGCAGGAGAAGAGAAGACCAGGAGAGGCTGGTATATGCGTAGGGTCGGAATGAACCATTTGCAGCTTCTGATGCAAAAGACAGCAGCCCAGATCAGGAGGCCCAGTACTCGGAAGACGAGGCAGTTGCACACCTTCCTCCCAGTAAAACCTCAGCTCCCTCACGAAATCGAGCCATAGCACTGCAATAGCTGCAGGAAATGAAAAAAGACAATTTTACTCAATTACCCCAGTGCGCCACTTCCCCTCTTACCCTCTTCACCCTGCCCACCTCCATACCACACCCACAGACTGTTTCCCAACTGAAGAAAAACACAGTCCTTTGCCCTGTTGGGAACATGCTTCCTCAAGGCAATCCCAATTCCCACCATAGCAACAAACACAAAAACAAGACACAGACCACAAGAACATCTTAACAATCCAACTTTAAGCTTGGAAGAAAAGCTGATCATCAGCCCCCCTGAGGAGCACGCTTCAAAGGTGTGGCAGTCACAAAAAAAGAAACCTAAGCACAGGAGCGTGTCAATTCAATTGCCACATATTCACCGTCAAACTTTTGAATAGAAAGCAAAAAACGTTGTCAAATAGAAAGAGCACGTGGTTATCTATTTGTCCTGTTCTCTTCACCTGCCCATCTCACTCCCAATTGATCCTCTTTCCCCAAACATTGCAGTCGCACTTAGAGCCAGTGTGCTGTTCGTCGGTCAGAAGGACAGCCTGCAGCTCACAGGTTTCCTTATTGTTAATAACCCTGCTCACACACCTGACAATCAACACCACATCATGTTCCTTGGCTGGGATTGACACAGCAGAAGAGAGGAATGATCAAACCCCACTCCTCAACAAAGCGTAAGCAAGAGAATCTACCTGCCCTACCCATCAACAAAGCATAAGCAAAAAAGAAACTACTTGCCCTACCAATGAACTCACTACCGTCTTCACCCCAATAGCTGTCTCTTATACACATCTAGATGTGTATAAGAGACAGGACTTACCCTACCCATCAACAAAGCATAAGCAAGAGAAACTACTTGCCCTACCAATGAACTCACTACCGTCTTCACCCCAATAGAACACCCGGTCATTATAGCTGTATTTGGGGTCACTTTCAGTCCAGATGCAGTGAGAATGACCGGGCGTTCTATTCGGGTGAAGACGGTAGCTCCACAATGGCTCCTCCACAAACAGGCGTGAACAGAGTGACGACAGGATGTCGAGTAGGAGGGGGATAATGATCACAATAGTAAAGACACGATACTCGATGAGAACCGTAAAGATATTGTACTTGATGGCAACGGTAAATATGTGATGATGAGAATCGTCCACGTGCAGGTGGGTCTGGATCGTGTGCAAGGAAGCATACCACTGGTACTCCATCCAAGAAGAATTGTGAGGAGGACGAGGTCCTAGGAGGAGGAGGAGCTTCCCTTCAGCCATTTCCGCAATACAGTTTCCTCAAGTCTCTAGAATGACACGAACTTTCCGCACACAGAAACAAACAGTGCCACAACTGATTATACATTCATGCAAACACTGCGCAAGCATTGAACGAATAATTCCTTTCTGCGCCTGGATGTCTGACCAAATGATAAGCACACATTATGCAAACACTGCGCCCCTACCGATAGAAGGTCATGCCCCCTTCTTGAGATGAAAAGCACACATTACGCGAAAAACAATGGGGTATCACAATACAAATTTAGAACCACATGATATGATATGGCACGCAGCAGCAGTCCCAGTGAAAGAGCACAAGGAGTGGACAGACATACATACCCCTGATGTTGCTGAATCGGAGCGCATGAAGGCAGAATCGTGAGAACAAGGATTCAGGTGGAGCAGTCTTCGCCACCAGCTGGTATGGATGCTGTGTATTAGATCCTGGTAAACTGCTGAATGTTCCTGCTTTTCCCTCTTCCCACCCCCCATCCCCCCACCCCGGCCCCTCTCCCCGCAAGAATTGAGTGTAGGGCACGGCATGGTTGCAAAGTACCAAATGTGGAGACCGGGGAGCAGATTGCCAGGCAAATGCATAGAAGCACAAGGCAGAGCACAGGCCTCTCAGCAGAATGAATGAAAGTTATTTCATGAACTCTTCTTTGCCACAAACATTTGCACTATGCCATAGTCTATGGCCTCACTTCAGTACCTCATGGTTGAAGATTCAGATGGTAAGTCCCGCCCACCATGTCTACCAGCTCACCACCACCTCAACGATCAGAAGAGATCAGCGCATGCTACGAGAACGTAGGCAACCAAGAGTGGAATCAGAAACAAGAATGCAGAAACAAGAATGACAGGTGAAAAAACAACAACAACGAAAACAGTGTCCTCAACATAAGGATGCCATCCATAAACCCCAGTGCAATAACCCATGCCATATGTCTCGTAGAAATCTGAGGGCCGACCTGGCCGCCCTCAGCCAGGCCAAAAACGAGGTAAGGGACCCCACACAGGGATTCAGGGCCTGGGCGTGCCACAGTCAACTGTCGGGACCCAAACAGTCAAAGTCCAAAGGTACCCAGTCCAGGCCACCGGTCAAGCACACACACTTGTTTGTATGCAGGTACCCAGACAGCATCAAGTCCAAGGGGAAATTCTGCAACTGTACAATCCAGGCCTTCGGCTGTGACTCAATCTGGACGACTGAGGGGAGGAGACTCGAGGCCAGAGAACCTCGCCAAACACTACTTAAAGTTGGGCTTCGAGGTGGTCAGCATTCAGTCTTGCTATGCTGGTTCAACGCTGGCTTGATTTTGACTTGACGATGGCATTATGCTAGCGCGATGCTGGCTAGACGCTGGCTGTGCTTTAGAGCTGCGGACAACGACACGTGGGAGAAGCAGCATGCTGGCATTGTACGCCAAGCATGCTGATGTGGCGCTGCCTGCGGATTACGTGGCATGCTGATGTGGCGCTGCCTCTGGTCTACATGGCTTGCTGACGTGGCGTTGCCTCTGGTATATGTGGCGCTGCCTACGGTCTACGTGGCATGCTGATGTGGCCCTGCCTCTGGTATATATGGCGCTGCCTCTGGTCTACATGGCATGCTGACGTGGCGCTGCCTCTGGTGTATGTGGCGCTGCTCTTGGTCTACATGGTGCTATTGGTCTTCATTGCTGATGTGGCGTTGCCACCTGTCTTGATTGCTGATGTGGCATTGTCCACGCTGTCTACATGAGGTGACTGATTGCGAGGGAAGAGGAAGATCGGGACTGTGGAGAGATCGTGAATACGTACCTGGTTGTCTTCATGTTGACAGTGCTCCAGTGCTGATGAGAAACTAATTAGACGTGCCACGTGGCGCATTGAGCTTACTTCAATACTCGTTCAGACTGTCTATTATTGAAGTGTTGGAGGAGGGAGCCCGAGCAGGAGTGGGCATTGTATTTCCTCTCCTTTGTCTAATCTCCCTCCTCTCTTCTTCGTCTGTGTATGATTATCTCGTCTCATTCTGTCTGGACACGATCTTGATTATTGGTACTCATTGGCTGTTGACATTCATCTGGACTTGCATTGTTGATAACTGTCTTCACGTTCTGGGTTCATTACACCGGTGAGTCGGTGACTAAAATGCCAATCATTGCAGTCTGAAATGAGAGTGAATGGAAGATAAGAGAATTCTGAAGATGTGCGGTTTGCACAGACAGCAAGCAGCGGATCACAAAAGACGTCCACACTCCCTCGTAGGATCTCCACTCTCATAACCATACCCGAACAGTCTTACTACTTTATCATCGATGAACTGAATCGAAGCCTCCATCTAGATGAAGTTGAATGCCTAAGGACCAGGTGTCTCTGCGCTTCCCTTCCTCCCTCACAACCAGTCCTCGATATAATACTCGAACAACTGGACACCGATCGAGTTATACCGGACCTCTAGCTAACCCAACCCTTGTGCAGAAACAATTTGGGAATGCAGTCAAGCAGCTGGTCCAGAATCAGAGGGCATCCTCAGCTTTGGTCTCCCTTTTTTGTTGGGATCAGCAATGTCCTCTTGTAATGTTGGTTGGGATTTATAGCTCTCAGGCTTGGATACCCAGCTGGTAGGGCTCGGTTCCGTCACGTTTGCTTCCACTGGGTTTCAAACCAGGACCTGCACGACTGTCGTCTGGTTGGCAAAACCGATTCAACCCGACTTCCAATTCATTCTCACAATATCTCACCTGTTTTGAAGTCGACCAACGAGGGAAGCACTCTGATCGTCTGCAAGCTATCGCGAGATAAGGGCACAGCCATAGCTACTGCTTATTGTTGTCAAGAGCATTTATCATCCTGCTCCTAACTTGGTCAAGGCTGCCCGAAGGACAATTTTCAACTGGAATCGTAAAGCTTTTGGACGCATATGTCGACAAGCGAGTGCATCTAAGCATGCTCATTACTGCTTCGTTAATTGCCACAAGTGGGTTAACGGGGACACCCACTTTCAGCAAAGGAGCCGGTACCACAAGGCCCTTTTTTTCTCAAAAAAAACAAAGAAAGAAAGAAAGAAAGAAAGAAAGAAGTCAACATATCAGCAAATCGGTCATAGACAAGCTCAGCTGAATGAAGACAACCTTGCGTGAGACCAAGTGGACCGAAGAGTGCAAAGAAATACGACACTCTGCCGGATGGACATTAAAAAGGATGCTCGACTCTCAAATTCAGAAAAAGGGAGACAAACTTCATCTTCATTGAAAACAAGCTAGAGGTTTATCCAATGCAGAGCCATTACCTTCATCGAATAGGTCTCGGATGACACGCCCAACAACAGATGGTGGAGGCACAGCCAATGATGCTGCCGTGCCTCCTAACAGGCCCCTCAAGTCAGCCGTGTTACCTGCAGCAATGAAAGAGTCACATGCAAGACGAGAGTCAGCGACTGTATTTGTGGTTTTGAACGAATGGCAAACGTACGTCATTCTTTAAATTCATGGTTCATCCAAATCACAGATTGGGCAACCGAGAACAAAACCATGGCTTCAGCTTCCCTCAACCTGCCCACACTGCCTTACGAGAAGCAAAAAAAGAAGGAAAGCTCTCCCAATCAATCAAAGGTTGTAGGTGTCTCCCTCCCCTTGAGCCACCGGGTGGGCGCTTGCGAGACAGTAAGAGCTTGAGGAGTTTACCAGTGTTCAGGTGATGGGCGTTTTCCATTTTCATCCACATATCCAAAGCCCTGTATTCTTTATTCCGTGGCACGTAGCAGTAACGGCGATGTCCCATACGTATGGAAACTCAAGTCCTTCGCTCTGTAGTGAATGGAACCGCTTTCATCCATCCATCTTGAAACCGCTTTGCCAAGATGCTCTGCTCTTCATTTCACATTTATCATCTTCCTACCAAGTAGGGTCGCCAGGCTGAACAAACAGCAGGCCTTGCAGCATCCGGATCCTCTGATGCATATGTTCAGACATGGACGACCTGGATGCAAAGCTATCGAAAACACAACCATCTCTTTTCCTTGGGGGATCAGGGACAGCTTAGGGTCATTCGGGGAAAGGTCAACGTAATTGGTTGAGCAGAGAGTAACCAGAGTGGTGTTTTGCCTTTCTTTTAAACCACCAGTTCATCTGAAGCTAAAAATTGATGAACCAAAAAACGCACTTCGCCGGCACTGCTTTTAACTGGCACTGCGAATTAGCTAATCTAAGGTTGTCCAGGTACGAGCAATGTGTATGACAAAAAGGACAGGCAGGCAGGTCTGACAATTGTGGCACTTTCTTCTTTAGGCTCACCAGCCCAATCCCCTCCCCCCCCCCGGGAACCTCCACTGGGCCTGGGCACTGTAGATTTCGACCTGGTACTTCTGGACGAGTAAAATCTGCAGTGCTCCTGCTGCTGGACGAGTGGCTTAACCTTCCCATTTTCCTCTTTTTTTTTTAATTGGGACCCTCTCTATTTATGTGTGTCATACTTACGCAGGGGCCATGCTAATCTTCTCCGTATTGTTCCAATGCTAACCAATGTCCCAAAGGACTCTGTAATGACCCGTCAATACACGGACTGAAACATACAGTCGATTTCTGATTTCTGCTCATAGGATGCATGCCGTACTAAGTTCCCTGCCTGTCGATGTGTTTGCTGGGTCTGAGTGCGTGCTTGTTTGCGGGTTGCATGACTGTGTGTGGCCTGCATGTTGTCGGAGTGCCTTGAGTGTGTGTGTGACCTGTATGGGTCTGTGATGGCTGGGCAGGCCCGTGGGAGGGCCGGTACTTACCTGTGGCATGGCGTTTGAGAGCTGCAGCCAGGGATACACTCAAGTGGTGTCGATAGCAGCCCCGCGACCCTTGGGGGGGTAGCGGGAAAACACTCAAGTAGGCCGGTAAGCATATGTGTGGGGTACTTGAGAGCCGGTAGGCCGAAATGTGGGTACTTGAAAGGCCG